AGTTTGCGGTGTCTCTCGCCCCGTGCTCGCGTGGATTTTTCTCCGCGTTCCTCCAGTTTTCCCCCTTCGCATTTAGAAACATGGCATTCGGAGTATTTGGCTGCTATACATCTCCACGCGATAAGCCACTTCGTTGAGCCATCTTTTGTGGCCAGGTCGCTCCTGACAAAGACCTGCACAGCTCAGTGGGCCTTACCTGCTAAAATAAAATAGTTTAGTTGAAACTGTAGTTTATTAGGCCGATGCTACATTGAGCATCCCTGGTGAGACCGGACGCAGGGGGCGTCGCCACAGGCCAAACCAAAGGCGACGATTTCGATTCAACAGCGCACGACATCATTTATCCTGTTCCATTGCGCACGTGCGGTCAACACGGGACGGCACAAATCATTCGTGAGAGCTGCGGGGCAGCAGCCGCCGTGGGCAATCACGAAGCGGACAGCGGCGATGTGCGTGGCTCGCTCCGGAACCCCAACGCACATCCCTCGTCATTCCTCCCCCACCACCACCACCAACACCACCACCAACACCAACACCACCACCAACACCACCAACATCACCACCAACACCACCACCAACACCACTAACACCACCAACACCACCACCAACACCACCACCACCAACACCACCACCAACACCACCAACACCAACACCACCACCAACACCACCACCAACACCACCACCAACACCACCACCACCTTCACCACCACCACCAACACCACCACCACCACCAACACCACCACCACCACCACCTTCACCAACACCACCAACACCACCACCACCACCAACACCACCACCACCACCAACACCACCAACACCACCACCAACACCACCACCACCAACAGCACCAACACGACCACCACCAACACCACCACCACCAACACCACCACCACCAACACGACCACCACCAACACCACCAACACCACCACCACCAACACCACCACCAACACCACCACCACCACCAACACCACCACCAACACCACCACCAACACCACCACCAACACCACCACCAACACAACCAACACCACCACCACCAACACCACCACCAACACCACTACCACCAACACCACCACCAACACCACCAACACCACCACCAACACCACCACCACCAACACCACCAACACCACCACTAACACCACCACCAACACCACCACTAACACCACCATAACGCCGGACGTCCACGGCCAAGCACGGGCGTCATCGCCCGCTGACGCCCACGGTGAACAGGCGAAGCGGCCAGCCCAGCACCAAGCCAGGCGCTTGCACGGAGGCCAATCGTCTCACCAGAACAAACATCCTGCGGGAAACAATGCGGGTGCGGCTGGAGATATTCGCTGAGTAAGTATTGTGAATTACGGCATCCCAATCGAAGAGCCGCCATTATCAACTCGCCACGAATGGGCTATATTCAATGTCGGTGATTTTAAAGTGAGAGATGCTCACGGCGACGGTGAAATGACACAACAATAACAGCAGCAACAGCAACAAATGGACTTCCTTAAAACATTCCCAGTGTGTGTGTTTTTGTTGTTTTGTTGTTTTCCGACCTGCGCGTGCTTCTTAATTTGGCTCAACGACTCCGTTCTTTTGTGACCGCGAGAGAACAGTGCAGCCGGCCAAACAATTTGCCGCTTCTCAGCGCCGGGCTCTCCGTGGCCAAATGGCAACTGCATGAGAATGGAACACAACAATTAGGGGTCGTCCATAAATGACGTCACGCGATTTTTGACCCCCCCCCCCGCCCATCGTCACACGGCGTCACAAAAAGTCAGACCCCCCCCCCTCAAATATGACGTCACAAAGCTCTGCCCCCCCCCCCCCCAAAAAAAATAAAACATGCTTCAAATCGCTTTAAACGATTGTCATTGTAGTGCGTGTTTAATGTGCCGTTGCACTCTGATGTTGTAGGAGAAAACATTTATTAAAAAGTCTATTTAATTAATAAGAACGTGTTGTCTATATTTATTAAAAGTTGCGCATTTTGATGTGACGTCAAAATTCTCACCCTCCTCGTCACACATCGTCACAAATGCCTGACCCCCCCCCCCGCCCCTAGGTGCGTGACGTCATTTATGGACGGTCCCTTAGGGGGAGTACATTCTCTCTCCCACTCTCTCCCCGTCTCTTGAGAGAGCGTTTGTGTCCGGTGCTCTAGCGGCTCCTCCGTGTCTCCCTGCGCTAGGAGCCCCGCATTCTCCGGTTGCTGGCAAGGACTGAAGAATTGATGACTCGTTTTTGTTTTTTTTGAGGAATGCAAGCCGCCTAATATACCATTACTGGCATCTGTCCATGAGGCATCGTCGCCGCCAGTGGCTCAGGCGGCTGGCGACCTTTGGGTACAGTTTCAAGCAAAGGCGAGTGTGGTTACCCTCAAAGAGATATGCAACACTCATCTCCTATAGCCAGCCTCTCTGCAAACAAAGCATTAACGTCAGCAGACAATTCGGTTGAGTAATCGGATTATTGCTAAGGCAGTGAGCAGGTGGCGAAGGAGACAACTGAAAACACCTTTGAAGATGTGATTTATTCATTTAAAATGTAGACACGTTGTGCACAAATGTATCGTCCGTTATTGATGACTTACAATTTGAGAGCAGTGTGATTTAGGTCGATAAAACTGCACGCGCGCGCGCGTGCACTTGGCAATTTTCGGAATGTTGAATCACGCGAGTCTCGTTCCTCTGAACCCCCACGTGTTCGGCCGTGGAGTTGACGACTCACAATCTCACGGAGCATGCGTGTCCCGGCAAAGTGACGGGTGCGCATTTTTTTCGGAATAACAGCTATGGCAGACGAACTCTCGTCCGTGCCGTTCAGTTGCCAATCCGCCCCCCCCCCCAACTACCGCACTCCCCTTCCCATTGGTCGCGCCACAGTACGGCTCCTCTCAACTCTCTCGGTCGAACATGTGCAGTTAAAAAAAAACTATTTTGTTATTTTACCAGGTAAGGACCCGCTGAGCTATTTCACGAAGGAGCAGTGTTTCTAAACGGACCCGGAGAAAATCCACGCAACCACGGGGAGAGAAAACGCGCAAACTCCGAAAATACAACAGGCGTCAGGGTCGGGATCAAACCCACGCGCTCCTGCATACCGGGCGAGGGAGTTAACATCTCCTAGCCACCGTGGCGTCCCTAATGCTGAGCAGACGCGGGTAGCATTTGCGCCCCCCCTTAGCTCTTCGGGACTCGCGTGTACCTCTTCAAAACGAGTGGCGATGACCTAATGCTTTTTTTTTCATTTTCCAAACCCAAAAAGAGCCGTTCGTATTTACGTTTCCATCAGTGTCATTTGATACCGAGCACTTAAAAGTTCACCAAGAGGCAAACCTGATGTGTTTTGCCTTTTTTCAGTTGAGCTTACTTAAAATATATATACACAACTGTGTTTGCAACGATTGTAAGCATGTCGTTGTCATCTACTTCTAGACAAGACCAAGACAATTTCAGTCTCCCATCCAGTCATGAATTGAGTAATAATTCCTGCCCGGTCTAGACAGGTCAGGGCAGATAATGTTGATTTTAGCCGGCTTTATGTGTGCAGTAGTTGTCATCGTTTAGCCATGCTCATTTTTTTCTACTCATAGCTTAGTCATGAGAAGCATTGTTTATTCATGTGATGTTGGTTTAATGGTTATTATGTCCACGCTATGGTGCCACACTTGTGAGCGCAGTGGTTAGCGGACCACGCTATGCATTCGGTTGCATGAATTTGATGCCCATCGGTGGCTAGCATCAGTGGTGAGTGAAATCTGAACCGGTCCCTTCACCAAGCCGCACCGACCGGCACGGTGAATCTACGGACAAACGAACCCTCGTGACCGACATGGCGTAGAGAGGCCTTCATCCAGCATTCGATTGTAAAGAGCTGTAAGCATATACTCTGAAGTAAAGATGTTCTTTGGGCCTTCATGTGTAGCTACGACTCCCAGTAATTGCATACTTCCTTCATGTGCAGGTTGTGTCGGGAAATTATACTTCACGCTGTTTCCTGTAAAAATTTCCAATTATTTTTCACTTGTACGTGTATATTTATTTTTGGGTCATTGTCATTGCTCCTTAATGTTTAATTGTAATTCCATTTGCTTTGATTTCGAAGTTCATGGAAATGTTTTGTTTTTATAAAATGTTATGTCACTTTGCTAACCATAGCAGGAGATCGACAAATCGATGCCCAGTAACAATATGTAATGCCCTCTTAGCGCACATACGCTACATATACTCCCACCTAAAATACAGACACACATCCACACACACAGCTCGTGAGTACAATCGAATCATCACCAGCCAACACGTACTCCAAAACCTTCTCGATGTATGCCTGAAATCTCACAAGTCTTTTTTTGTGATGGTCTAAAGCTCTTCAAACGTCCTCCTGCAATACTAATGCACACTCGAAACATTTCTAGCATAATGGTAATGTCACAAACGGTAAACGGTATCCTGATTGCCGATCTCCACAAAACGAACCTTCCAGTTTTCAACCTAACCCTGAATGCCCGTGCTTTTCACTCCACATCGAACCATTTGAAAAGCTCGCATAGCAGGTGCAGTCATCTCTGACACCTGCGAGGGATGAGAGACCCCGTGCGTTATGCGACTGTGGACACCAACTGCTGACAATGGATCCCGCATTGTGAATGGGTGCCCACTTCGGCTGTTCGCCAACGAACTACTGATGGTGCTTTGCACCGGTGCGAAACGAGCGTTACTAATGAAAACCCCCTCTTGTTCAGCTGAACGGAAGAGGTTACATTTAATAAACTCTGACAGTAAACTACTTTAATATGATAGATACACACATACACACACACGCGCGCAGATTGTGGAGAGCGGTAACACGGTGGTTAGCGCACTGTGCTATTATTCAAGAAACCTGGGTTTGATTCCTAACCACGGCTAACATCAGTGGTGAGTGTTACGCGAACTGACACTGCCCCCCCCTCCTCCTCCCCCCGCCTTTATCCTTCACTGAATTGGCAAGAGCGCAAAGTAAATAATTTAAATATAACAATTACAAGCGCGGAGACACGCAAATATTCCGTACCGAGCCGCTGCGTGTTTGTACACGCATACACATGCGGTGTGCGCAACCATATTTTTAGGCGATTAAGTCACCCAATTACCCAAGGGGCCGCACTGTTTGGGGCACCCACGCAGGAAAAGAAACAACACTTTTGAGAGGGGGCGCACTGAGCGCCGGCCGTGACGCACGCGTCGCTCGTCATACTCACTGAAGGCGTGGATGTAGACGTGCCCAATCCCTCGTTACAGAGATCGACACGGAACGTCTGTCTCCACGACATCACACATCCCGCCGAGTGGGCTCAATGGAGCAATTCTCCTCCGCTCGGAGGTTGTGAGAACAATAACGGCCACCTCGATGGAGAACCTGCGTCGCCAATGGTAATGTAACATTGTCCACGAATCGACCATTGGTACAAAAATAATCGTCTGTGCAGCCTCACGTGCTTTGTAATTCACATTGTGTTCGATGTTTTAGATCACTAAATTACTAAACAATGAACGGAATAATATCCAGTCGGCAGTTACCCATCAACAAGGTGGCAGAAAAACAAATCTCTTCCCGTTTAAACCACATCGCTGTGACCGAATCGCGCTGAAATCGCCCGAATTTTAGTCAAGACGTCGCGTGTTCAGCGGGCTTGAGCATCCAGAGTGCTCGTTACGGGCATCCGCGATGCCATAGCAGGCTGTCGTGTCGGCCACCGTGGGCCTCCACAGCTGGCGGCTGAGTGCAGTGCGGCACATTCCATCGTTGCACTGCGCATGGCTGCCCCACATCTATGCTCTTGCCCCACCTTCAGTAACTCGCAGTGGCCAGTGTGGTCAAGTTTGGTCGACTCGCACGGCGGATTGACAAAGGTGCTGGCAGAGGCGCATCACCTTGATGGCGTAAACCCTAGCCGTAGCCAACATGTTGCCGTATTTGTGGACTCCAATACGTTTCATGCCTTTGAGCAAATATTTTCCAGATTTAAATCAACAACGACAACAGAATCATGGAATTGTGGGAGATGCGACACCGGTGGTTCACGCACTGCGTTGCTCAATTCCGCTCGGTGTAAAACGTCCATGGCGAGTGTGATACGCGCTGGGCTCCCCTTCACCAACCCACACTGACCAGCATGGTGAGGTATGGTCAAATAATCCCCCGTGTCCAACGAGAATATATGGGCATAAAATGTGTCTCCTTCGTAAATTTGTCACTACACAAAATGTATATAAATACAGGGTGCTTCAAAAAAATAATAACATGTAAATGGGACGATCGTTTTTTTTAATGTAAAAAGAACGGCTAACACAATGTAACATGATAACGCATGTTATGTTAATAGCTTCAAAAAGTCAAAGAGTCTCCCACTTGTTCGCCATCGTTGTCAACGCACGTGGCCTGGAAACTTCTCCAGGTGGTCTCCAGAGCCCGGAGGCAGCGCGCACGTCACGTGGTGTTGTAAATTCTCTGAAGTGTTAACATTTTTTTGAAACAACCTATATATATTTTTGGGGTTTTTAATGTTTTAGTGACATGTTTTTTTAATGCAACCCATCAGCAGACGGCCTTCTAGGAGTGTGTAAATTTCAGCAGCGTTGATTCAGTACAAAGCAACGTCTGAGAGTCAGTCTTGCTTGAATCACTGCCGATGAACTTCCAGATGTAACAGGCAAGCATGCTGTTCCTAGTTCGATGTAAAATCATAAGATACATAACACGAAACAATAATAATTAGCATCATCATTCACGAATAGACTGATAGAGGGATGTAAATTGCTGTGAAGAATGGAATCATTGAAGTTTGATTAAGGAGCAGTGCTTAATTTGGATTGAGAGCAGCTCTCACATGCAGCCATGCATGTGGATTAGGTCTAACGAGGAGGGCCCTGGGTGCCCTGGTTATGAGAATGCACCTTGCTCTCCCACAGGTTTTTCTATCGTAATTTAATATTTGGTTTCCTCTACGTGAACCCGTCTAGGATTGTTGCCAGCGGAGTCTGGCACAGCGACATGGCAGATTTGGCCTTCGCTCTGCCCACTTGAAACAGAATCCGGGAATCCAGTGAGTAGTCTGACAGCTTCACGGAGTACAACGTGATTCACAAGATACATTAAGCCTGTTGCCTCATCATCCTTTAGACTCGCAGCCAAAATAATCCCACATTTCGCAAGAACTGCGTACGGAATGGAGCGGAGTGGCAAAAGTTCTTCTGAAAAGAAAGTCTTTTATTTAATAAATGCACCCCTGTTTGTGCATACAACATGTATCTGATATTATACGTTCTTATAATATTAACAATAATGTAACAATCATAATTTACAGTCCTTTGTCAATATATTGTTGGAGGAAGACTTCCCAAGATCATGGTGAATTTTGACCATACTTTGTATGTATGTATGTTGAACTTTCTTTTGCACCGTACGTAGCAAACCGTGCTAATCTTCGCTAACAAACTGCAACCATGGTAGTCGCAGTTTGTTGGTGAGGAGAGGAACCCTGGCCTCTTTCAGATATCACTTGCCACTGATGATAGCCGTGGCAAGGTATTGAAATCGGTTTGCTGAGTTCACATCGCAGTGTGCCAAGCACTTCACCACCACTCGTCCATTTCGTTAAGTTGCACCTGATGAAGGCCGCTTGTGTTGTGGCCGAAACGTCGTGAGAATTTTATTGTGTTATTTTATTTTATCAATGTATTATTTTATTCTCATTCTACGTGGTGACTTTACCGAAAGAACCAAAGAAGTTGCAGAGCGTTTCGTGTCGTCCTCAGGCATGGAGTTTTTAATTTGAGTCAAAATTTTCCCAGACACATCTAAATATCAGGAAAATGTTTGGCCATTTTAAGATGTACTTAATCTTAAGTGCCAACAATTGTTTCTATGCTTTATCATGGCACGTTAATATCTAAATGAAACAGTTAATAGCGTGGATACGTATACATGAACGGGGTAGAGAGAGTGGACATGAAAAGCAAATGTAAAGCATGCCGAGCATGCGTGAGAGCATAATCGAGAAAGATGGAGGAAGGACATTGACGTCATGATGAATTCCTGCAAAAGTAATAAGTTTCCATCTCACAAGAAGCATCATAGGTCAGGATGACCATAGGACACACTCCAACTGTTCTTAGACTTTGTTGGCAGGAAACGTAAAATGCCACAATCATTATATCACCTACATGGTATCGTCCGTGCATTATAATGGAGAGAGTGGATAGTCGATACAAAATTGTTCCTTTTGGCAGATATTCGCTTTTTAAAATGCTTGCTTGATTTGACCGGGTTATTACCTTGTACATGTATGGACATTTTGTTTAAAACACTATCACAGTATTTCGATACCTGCGTGATATAAATGCAATGTAGTTTGAAAATAGAGTTACATTCATAACAGTTGTATATATTGTTAATAAAGGGTGGTCTGTGCTGTGGTTCTACATTTAAAGGTAACAAGGTGCAGCCATGCAATTCCTCGTTCATGCCACTGCTGGCAGAAGAGCCTGCACGAGAGGCAGCTCCAGAAAGGCCCCTCTCGAGGGTATTTTTGGTCAGCTCTTCCAACTGGACCGGACATCTCAGAAGAGGAGGGAGTACCTGCATTTTTACTCCACCACATACAACCCTGCCTGATCGACTAGCTGTGGCCTATACCCATTTATACTGGCATGCGAACTGGCCCGCCGTGAAAATAGAGCACCGTGGCTCATTGGATTCTTCCATTCTAAACAAAGACTTTGTGTCTGAACGGAGCCAGGGGAGATTTAAGAAACGTGCACAATTGTCACGTAGGCAAAAAATAAAACAACAAAAATCACGACGTTTCGGCCACAACACAAGCGGCCTTCATCAGGTAACAGTCTCGAGGACAGCGCTGGCGTGAACTTCACTCCAGCGCTGTCTTCGAGACAGTCTGGTCCCTTCACCTGATGAAGGCCGCTTGTGTTGTGGCCGAAACGTCGTGATTTTTGTTGTTTTATTGTTTTACCTACGTGACTTTATCGAATAGATCCAAAGAGTATGGATCCTTGCAGTCACGAAAGCTTCAAATCTAGAAGTGCACAATTGTTTCAACTGCCGTACTTATTAGGAGATCCAACTCGTGACATCTAGATTGCGAGTCCAGTGTGCAAACCATTGCACACCAGCAGCTTCCCATGGTCTGGATGGGTTATAAATCGGATAAATACTTTCACACACCAATGTTATACTTCGTCATAATAATCATTAATTCACTGCTCTGTGGAGCCTTGTAAAGTTCTAACCATATGGAGTTCCCAGACCATGTGGCACTAGGTCATCATTGTTCCTTAGCTGAAAGCTTCCAATTTCCCATTTGTTTAAGGTTCGAACAATTTGCAGTTATCAGAGTCTGAACATTTCACAGGCAGAGCGCAAACGTGACTCATATTACGAGTTCCTCTGGATGTCTCGTAATTTATTGAGGAATACCTCATCGTGTTTAATTGATGTGAGATCACATCAGCGTTGGGCTGGCATGCTTTGGCGCAAAATATCCTCTTGGGAAAGTCTAGCGAGAGCCATCAATGGTAAGCGATGACTTCATTCAGATGACTCTATGCACACACACATGACTTCACCTCGTTATGAATGTCAGATCTATATATTCCCCCCTCGCCCCCCACCCCATAATTCATGTATTACTGCCTACCCAAAACTACATTCCTGAAAAGCAACCAAATATTTAGCTCACTGGAAACGTTTGATCCGAAGAACTGATCATCAGGGAATGCGCTGAGAGGCACCGGGACGTGCCAGGCACATGGCAGCAATGCACACGTCTTCTTTAATAGCAATTTGGCCACGATCATAGGCCGCCGTGGCGTGTGTGCAAGAGGAGCTCCAGTGCCTTCGTCATGTCAGGAAGGTGAAGGTCAGGAAGGCGAAGGGCAACAAGGCACACGCTATAGAATGCCACGCTGGGTGTAGGCTCGGGGTCTTTTTCCTTTATTTTTCGGAGAAAAAAAAAGAAAGCAAATAAAATTATCTGTTCACTAGAAGTAGCCATAGCGACTACAGCTGCAACGTTAGTAACCGGCACACATTGTATTTGATTGTTTAGCAGCAAAATGAATGTGGAATTTTTGGAATTTCATCATCCATACTCAGGTGATCCCGTCATGTATTTTTTTTAGTTGTAATGCAATCAGAGTTCCACTCGGTATATTTGTGTGTTTTGTTGCTACATTCCTTTAATTATAAATGGTCCCTTAAAAAAAACACAAAGAGTTTTGAAGTGAAACGTGGTCTGCGCTGGTTTTCCTTGTGTGGGGGCCAAGTGGGGCAAATGAGCCACTCTCTAGCCCGCTCACCCCCCTCCCCCCGTTCCCCCAAACTCTGCCATTTGTCAAGCCTTGAAGTTTCATGCAGCGGGGGGGGGGTTGAGCCCCTCTTAGGCCATCCTTCAGCCCAATCCCCAGCCCCCCCCCCCACCCGCCTGCCCACCCTCCCCCCCCCCCCGAAAAATGAAGTGTGTTCACATGCTACTTCATCTTGGAATTTATTTGAATTTCAAACGTTTGGGGAAAACTCATAATAAGACTTAGATAATAATTAAATAAATACGTCTTTACTTTAATTTACCTTGCCGCAAGCCGACCATTACAAAAATAACCACTTGAAATGAATGCCCGTGTCAAAGAACGGAGAGAGCCCAAACATTTTGCAACATCCACTTCTCCATGAGCTCAGCTCCTCTTCGTTAACCTCCTCAAAGTATAATGTTATATCGCCTACAGACTCTAGCTCCCTCTCTGCACACACGCTAGACTCTCACCACTCGATGCTCATTATACGTCGATGTAACAACACACAAAGCTGTGCATTGCATGTAGAAAAGCTGTCAGCCTTATCCAGACCACCAGCTCAATAGAACTAAATGCGCGGCCATTTTGTCCTTGGGACCACCAGCTCCTCTCAACAGGCAGTAACTAAACACAGACACAACTGTGGGCCAGTTTCATTCTCATTGGGGCTCATCAGTGCACTACAGCCATAAATGTTTGCTGCTGCCACATAAGGTAAGCAAGCGCATTATGCATTTGTATGGAATAGCTTGGTTCTCATTCTTAACATGAAAACCAAACACTAACACGGGCACTCGGTGAATTGCTCCCAAGTTGGTACTTGCGTGTACTTGCTAGTTATGAATTGTTTTGATCTAGATCTGAAGTTTTCGTGACTGCAGGGATCCATACTCTTTGGTTCTTTCGGTAAAGTCACGTAGGTATAAAATTAGTACCTTGTTGTCGCGGCATCTCTTGAGGAAGGTTAGCGACTCGATTACTTGCTCCTTCTTGTCCCGCTGTCTATTAAAAGCTCTAACAGAAGTGTGGAGACCCTCCCCGTAGAGGCGGTTAACTAATCGAGTCGCTAACCTTCCTCAAGAGATGCCGTGACGACAAGGTAATAATTTTATACCTACGTGACTAATTGTAAATGTATATTGCAATGGTAGACAAACTTAACCATGACATGATATCACTTTTTTTCTTATTTACATTATATTTGATATATTTGTAACTATTAAATAATTATAGTTATCATAATGTGTCGATAGTTTAATGTTAATGTGCCATTTTATTGAGGGACTGTATGTTATCTTGGTGTGGTCCATAACTGCTTTTGTAGTTGTGTTTTGCTGCCTTGTGCAAGCTTGATATATTTGACTTATATAATTAATATATGTGTTATCTATTCGTGTTGTAGTGGCTTGCTTACTATTTTCTCTATCTTCCACTCCTTTAGTTTTTTGTATTGTTTTCGGTTGTAACTTGCAGACCTGTCCATACTGAACATCCGTGAAAAAAGTGATCCATAGCTCATCAGATTCTTCCTGCAGTATGAATACAGATTCTGATTCTGTAACTGCTGAATGCGGGCCTCCCCAACTCTCCCCCTAATCCCCACGACTGATTGCAGTTGCAGTCATTCGTGGGGGGTTGTTTGACCATACTTCACCAGTGTGGCTACGTGCAGGGGCAGCCCAGGACCAGTTCAGATATCACTTTTCACAAATGTAAGCCATCACCAGGAATCATACTCCGGTTCATCGTTCAGGGCGTCAAACGCTGTGACACCATTGCATCCCACTCATCGGCATACCCATACTACACAGCATTACACTGCAAGCATGCTGCACTACTCCAAAGTTGATTTAAAGGTAATATTGGGCTAATATTTCCCAAGATAACCCAAAGGTTATGATGTTTCTGGATAACCACTGTGTGACTAATGCATTTTAGCACATTCTTGGCTGCATAAACCGACGCATTTAAGATTTTTTTTCATTTACGTTCATGAGTGGACATGTGGCTGAAATTAAATGGAGCAATTTTATACATCATTAGAAAAACACTGAAAAAAATCACTGGAAAGTTAAGAAACAAGTGAACCCTTAAATTACAACAAATTTATCCATTACTGCATAACCAGTGAAAGATATTTTACTCTCCTCTCCGACCGCCCTTTGCTATATTTGCTTTCAAACATTTTGCAAGTCTTGTATTTTGCAAGACGTGAAACGGAACCATAGCAACCCTTGCACGTGTTTCAAAAATGCCTACGCAACGGCTACATTTCCCATTGGTATTTTCTCACCAACAAAGAGGAGGATATTGGAGAAAGTCATGCGTGGAGATGGCGGTGCTGGTTTTAAAACCGTTTGCCCTTCTAATCTTTGCCGGGCAATGTCGCCAGATGTTTTGAGACCACATTCAAGTGAGCAGGTAATATCGGAATGTTGATCCAATGTTGGACTGCGAGTGTGCTCCGTTGTAGGCTCGCTATCTATGATTACCCCCTGCTTTAATTACTTATTTAATTACCTCCTGCTTTAATTACTTCAGATTAGTGTCAGAGTGGATGCAAAGCGTGAGTCCAGATGTTCGATTCAGTGCCGCTAAACATGACGCTCCGTTGTTAACATATACAAAATGAATACCTGTCGGCTTTGATTTGAACGGCTTCGGTGTAAATTGACACGCAGGCAATGCTCTCTCCGTGAATGCTTTGTCCGAACTCATGCTGTATTTCAATAACAGCGCCGGTAGAAGAACAGTTCTCGTGGAATGCAACACTCCGTGGAAGTGTCAGGAAACAATGTTGCGATTTACAGGAATGCGGCATACCGAAAGAGCATACGCGCGTTTGATTGGCCTGTCGAAGGGGGCCTTGAAATCTCAGAATGTGTTTATAAATTCCCGCGCAAAATATCCGTGGTATTTTAATATCAGCACCTTGGGAACAGCCCTGCGTACCCCTGTACGGGTTCCTGCTTTGATTTGGCGGCAAATGTGTTGCTCGCCAGTTGCTTTTTTGCAAACCTCCGCTCAAGTGTCCGTCCCAATGTGTTTCTAGTTAGCCAAGGGGCTGGCTGCACTTTCATCAGGTAAGCCAAGCCTGGCCCATGAGGCTCCAATTCTGCCTACTAATCAGACGCAGCCTCACTCTCGTGCGAACGAGCGTAAGATCTTGCGGGAGATTCCAGAGGCAGCACGAGGCACGCGGGAGCTGCCACACAATCCTCCTCCTCATCTGCCTCTCGTGCTCACCCTTTTAGACCTCACATATCCATTACTCTCTCCAATTGCAATTTAATCAGTCGGAAGTGGCTGTTTATCAAGCAAAATGATTTTTTTTAATGATATGTTTGCGCTGCCTTTGCGAGGCGTGGCGTTTTTCGAGGGTTTATTTTGTGTTTGTTATTTTTTGTATTGGAATTTTGGCGCGGACTTCCCAGTCCACTGTGTAA